CTTGTCAGCAGTAAAATGACCCTGGACAAAGCCCACCACGGATGGATCAGGATTTATGCTTTGCTCCAGGAGCAAGAATACCTTTCAGTATCACTCAGTGACTTTAATACTCAAACTACTAGTTTCAATAAACTGAAATCACAACTCGTCACAAAACAGATAGCAGTTGAACAGGGAGGGCACTGTGCAAACTTTCCCACAGTTCTTTAGCAGTATGTCAGGGTGTGACCCTGGAGAGGAAGGGCAAGGGTGAAAATTAGCCATTGAACTCACTCTATTAATCCATGGTGTAGTGTTGGGGATTCCCAGAAAGCATGCCTACTGGAGTCAGTTCTGATATCTCTTTATTATTGTAAAATGGATTTATTAAAAGAAGAATGAAGTGGTGAAACAAGGGCTTTGAAGTCTGTTGCAAATTTTGCTTTATGATAAGGGGTAAAGGAGTCTCTAGGTTTAATTCACTTGGGAGATTCTTTTTCTTATTAAAAATCTATAGAAAAAGAAATGGCTTTTAGAATTTAGCTAGATTATAGACAACTATCCAAGCATACAGGCTTAAAGTGTCTGTTTTATAAGTTATGTTATTTATTTGTAGATTTTTATGTTATAGAGACATTATCAAAGAGCTGCGTGAATCAATTTAAACGAGATATTCCTGATTACAAATTGTTATGAAGTTTACTTTTTGTGATGGTTCTTCACTTTTACAAAAGCTGGTGACACAGTTGTCTAATCATCACAGATCACAAGGGTCCACTCCACTGGGGAAACTCTGCTTTCCTTTCCTGTTCTGTCCCAGGATTATGAAGTTATGTGCATCCTTCTCATTGCTCCTGCTACACTTTTCACTCACCTTTATTACAGTTCTTGCAGCCCTGCATAATAATTCTGCATTTACACTTCTATCATGTCTACTAAATTGTGCATGCCTTGAGAGCTCGACTATGTCTTAATCATACTTATAATTCTGGGGTGAGCAGTCAATTGAGCAGGCACTCAATGTGATGAATGCTTCAGAAGGCACTTCCATTTCTTTTTTAGAAAATTATCAACATTAGAAATTGCTATGTTCTCGAGGAAGGCAAGATTCTCTGCTGTCATTGCAGTTAAAGCAATCAACACCACATCTACCACACAGCATAACTACAATTTCTGTCTTCCATTAATTCCAAATTCTTCAGTTTGTTACATTTCTAAGGAAAGAGATAGCTATTTTTTAATTAATTTATTTATTTATTAAAGATTTCTGTCTCTTCCCCACCGCCGCCTCCCCTTTCCCTCCCCCAATCCAGTCCCCCCCCCCTCGTCAGCCCAAAAAGCAATCAGGGTTCTCTGCCCTGTGGGAAGTCCAAGGACCACCCACCTCCATCCAGGTCTAGTAAGGTGAGCATCCACGAAACTGCCTAGGCTCCCACGAAACCAACAGGTCCGAGATAGCTATTTTTATCACCAAAATAACAGAAGTTAAGAAAGAGACTATTGGTACCCCATAGGTCTGCCTTGAGCTTAGAACAAAAGTGAAAAGAATAAAATAGATTATATAATATATACAGTAAGATTTTTGGTTAGTAAAAAGTTACAAGAAGTAAAACTGCATTTTACCACTGACTACTGCCTTTATTTCTCACATTAGACTTCTAGTCATTGAGGAAAAGCGTGCACTCTGCAGAATACTGTGTGCTACTGAGCATCAGTCAGTACTCCATCCTAGAGGCCACCACTCCGGTTCTCAGTATTACAGAGTCAAAATAGAATGATAGAAAGGAGAAAGGAGTGAAGAACTCAAAGGTGACTACTGATTTAGTCACCTCTAGTGTTTCTCTGATTGTTTCCACTTGCTTAAGTAGTAAAAACAAACAAACAAACAAACAAACAAATAAATAAATAAATAAATAAATCCTGAAAAACTAAGGAATGGAAAAGCCAATGTTTGAAAGCAGTAAACTTGAAGGCACTAAACAAGCACACTGCTTACATCTGCTTCTTCAAAAGTGAAATCGAGTGTATGCTTTAGTTCTGAGCTTAGAAACCTTTGGTATGGCCCTGTGCTATTAATGCTAATAGTACTTTGCAATTGCCCTTGACCTATGTGTCAGAATGGCTCTTTCTAAGTTAGTGAAAATAATAGTGGTCAAAGACTTGACATTGCATCAATTTCCTTTACTACAAAAAGGTATCTTTAATAAAAAGATGAATAAAAATTCAATAAGCTTTCTTTTTATCTACCTTATTACTTTTATTTTTGAGGTTATATTATAATTGCTTCACTTTTCCCTTTCCTTTCTCCAAACCCTCTCATATGCCCATCATCTCTCTTTCAAATTCAGGAGCTCTTTTTTTCATGATTGTTATTACATGTATATATTCCTAATCCAGTCTCTACAGTACTTCTCAGATGTATGTCTTCAGGGCTGGTCAGTCGGTGCTCTTCCTTGGGGAAGATGCTCCTCCCACTGTCCAATGCCTGCCGTCATTTAAACAAACTTTCTTCTCTTGTCTTTGCCAGATTCCAGAGATAAAGGGACTAGAAATACGGCTTGTTACAATCCCACATGAAATGTGGCCAAGTTTAGTTCAGTTAAGCGTTTTCCAGCTTCTAGTAATGTCAGACGCCATTTGAGTGGTCAGTATTGGCTCTGACACAGTTATGATGCTCTCCTCTAAAATATTCCCAGAACCCAGTTGCCTTTTACCACCTGTACTGGCTGTCACTGGTTTCCTTCGTGTTCCCATCACCCACAGTACTGGACTGGCTGTCACTGGTTTCCTTCGTGTTCCCGTCGCCCACAGTACTCCTCAGAAATCCATCAGGTCAGATCAATCCTCAACTCAAATTCCTCCAAAGCATTCTGTCCTGCAAGAGAGATCCATGGTTTTCAAATGCCCACTGCTCTCCTTCTCCCCTGTCATCTAGTACACACGTTCACAATCTATTTCCTCAGTCTTTCTGGCATCCTGAATATTGCTAGTAAGACAGCTGTAGCCACTTCTCTGGCCTTTGCAGGATCTGCTCCTCCAGGCAAACCACGGCTCACTCTGTTACCTTTTTTCTTCATCTCTTGAAGATTCTGTGCACACAAGTGCTCCGCATCACATTTCCCATCATTTAATTCCAGCATTATATTTATCACTTGAAACATGCCAAAATGAAGTCATCTTCTTCGGTCCAAAAATCCATGAGCACAGGGATTATTTTCATTGTTTTGTGCATTGTTATTTCTCTATCATATACAATCCTGGTTGTGATAAAGTAATGAAGACTTCTCAAAAATATGAAACTTTTTATGTCCTTACCCAGCTTCTGATTAAGATGTGGTATTATTATTGGATGAAATCTTGCTTAAAGGTTTACATGCAAATATTTTTCAAAAGCTGTTTGTGCCTGCCTTTGTTTGCTGGTATCAAAATTCTATGACAGCAAATTAATTTATTAAAGTCCCAAGTGAAACCAATTACACTATGTTTTAATGAACAAGATATTTTCAATACCAACTTTGGTGGTGTGCAGGACTTGGAAATGAGAGCAATGAAGGTAAGAACCACAACCCATAAACTTGGCAGGCAAGGCAAAGCATGTGGCCAACTCACCACCAGACATCAAAGGACCAGTTCTAATCTTTGCTGAGAAGAATCCTCAAGACCCCAGACTGAGGAAACTACCATAATGTTAAATTGTGCAATTACATTGGGTTATGTAAGACTACTGAATTAACCCAGGCATACTAAATCTTTTTCAATATAAAATTAGTAAGTTAAAGGTGAGTTAAGCTTGTGTTGCCCATTTAAGAGTTATCCTATGACAAATATACTCCTGTGTGGGTATACAGAGCTTCTCTGCCATGGATAGCTAATAAAATTTAATTGAAAATCTCAGATGATGCTTAAGGTTTCACACAAGTGTAAACTACTGTGGCTGCAATTCACAATGCATTTAAAACAATTTTTCTTTATCATTAAAGCTAATAATATGCACATTAACCTCTTATGTAGTCTAAATCAATATTGTAGTTTAAAAGATATGACCTCTGGACAGCTATTTCTAAATATTGATTCCATTGACATTTGTATAACGGTTTCAGCACCTTACCTATACACCAGCACCATCCATGCTCTTCTCAGAGAGCCTTTGACTTTGTGAGTTCTTATGAAATGAGACAAAGAAACGGAGACATCCCAGAATGAACACATGGGATGGATATCTGAGTATAGCAGAGCAGAGTCACCATGGAGAGATAATGTCCAGGCCCTGAGACAAAGAAATGGAGACATCCCAGAATGTACACATGGGATGGATGATCTGAGTATAGCAGAGCAGAGTCTCTATGGAGAGATAACGTCCAGGCCCTTTATTTCCAAAAGACATTAAAAACAGAAGTGCACATTTAGCATGCCAATTGCCTATTGATCTTGATTTCCAAATAGCAGACTTACTCAGCCTCATAGGCTCTGATTTTCTTTACCTTTTTATGAATCCCATGGATATCTCAGGGGAAAGTAGTTCAGCCATAGTTAACTTCAAGTGATGTCCTTTGGCAATAGAGCCATTTTCTCTCAAGTCACTTGTTTGGAAGGCCCTCTGATGACTTTCTAGTGAGCGAGTTAAGTTGGAAAGTGTAGCTGTAAGATTGAAGAGATTGGCTGTTCAAATGGTCACAATAGAACCAAGAACAGAAAGAGGATGGGCACACTGCACTTTCCCACCACACTGTAGTGTTCTCTGTGTTGTAAATTATAACAGATCAGGAGTCAAGCTATATACTTTGGTCTCAGGTTCTAAATCTCTGCAAAGCATAACAATTGCTAATATCCTGTTACATCTGTTTTTATGAGATTTGCTATTTTAACTTGTAAGTTTTTTTATTTGTTGTTCATTATAAAACTTTTTTGGGGGAAGTTTGTGATCAAAACAGATATGATCATGATACCATCAATGTGGGTATATGCTGAAAAAAAAAAACAAAAACAAACAAACAAACACGTTCTCTGCGCATCTCCCGTAGGTAAAAGTGATCCGTTTTGTGTGGTAGAACTGAACAATGATAGACTGCTGACACACACTGTCTACAAAAACCTCAGTCCTGAGTGGAACAAAGTGTTCACATTGTAAGTGTAATAATTATGTCATGCTTTTTTAAAAACCGGTGTGAAAATATAGTTCACCCTGAAAGTATGTGTATGTGTATGTGTACACGTGCATGCGTGCACATGCACACACATATTTGTGTATTCCAGTTCACAGTGCAACACGCTTGCTCTGCCTTTCCTAACCATGAATTTCCAAACCCCCTCCCTACCTTCTCAAGAGTGAAACTTGGGAAATAAGGGGTATGTCCTTTTTCTTTGTTTTCACTATAGACTTTTTTTTTCTGCTGTGCTTTTATGTGGCCTGACTATGGGTTTGCTCCCACCACTGAATCTGCATACTGCTTCTTCCTTCTGTACCTTCTATTGAAATTCTTCCCAATTGCATAAGAAGGACAAAGCTCTGTTTGTCCCACCACTGAAACCAGCAAACAATCCAGTCGGGTTTGGCAGATGCTTCTTCTGGGCTTGTTTCATTTTAGCACAATAAGGACATTAAGCATTGTCCTAAATCTCAAAACAAGCTTTGAGTTAATTTTCCTTTGTTTTAAGAAGTTTGTAAATCTTTTGCACTGTGCACCGTGAAAGCTGTGCATGCTGCACTGTATGAGTGGACAAGTCCCTTCTTTTAAATTGGGCTGAAGAGAATGGGCTCCACAAAGCAGAACTCTCCAAACAGAAGTACTTAGCAGTTTTCTAACATGGTTTTATTTCTTGTACATAAAAAACTGCTAAATTCCTCATTAATTCCTTATAATGTCGCTGCTTAAGAGCCAGTAACTAATCAGCTTTCATTATCTGACCAATTTTTTTTAAGGAATTCCACATTTTTATAAGAGATGAAAGCCTAGTCAGGAGGCTTGCGCTCCTGAGAGGGCATGGAGAGTGTTTTCTCTAGAATGCATAATTGAATGAATAGGTTTGATTATTATCAAAGCGATTAATTGATTGTGCCCTGGTAAAGCCTCTTTTCATGTGCAGTTATGGTGTTTCAGTAATGAATATATTCTTTTTAGTTTTCTATTCATTCAGATTTTCTTGGTAAACAATTGATCAAAAATAAAAGCTGTCAACAATTGATACTTATTTTTCTTGAAGCAAAAATATGCAGAATTCACATGGTTTTTTTACTATCATGTGTTGTCTTCTAAACTTACTGGCATATTGTGATATAACTTTTTTTTTCTAAATCCAGTCTCTGTTTTGATTTCTCTGCTTGGTACAAACCTAACTTAGTAAGTGCAACAGTAAGAACTATAAAAGATGGACAGGTCATAGTATAGTGAAAACAATAAGAGTTCAAAAATCTATGTGGCTCCTACTGGTAGCAAACCTGTGATATCTTACACAGGAGTTATGCAATTGTATGATTTATTGTTATAACGTGACAGAGAAGCCTAAATATTGCCAGCAGTACTTAGTGATTTTTCCAGCAACTTATTCTTTGTATATCCCGCTCAAAAGTGATGTCATTAAAAACCCTGAAAGTTACAGAAGTCTTCAGAGTTCCTTATGCTATGACCCTTGCTGTTGTCACGTTAGACGTATTAGGAGAAACTTTCAGCTTCCACCCTACCCTGTATATGTATATCTGTGTGCAAATAATACAAGTAAAAAATAAAAATACAGAAAACAGATAGTTCTAAGATTTCAAAACTGCTCTATCTTTGCTTCATACTAATGGAGTCTCTTTTCCTCGGGCTTGTTTATTACGCAGCAACATTAAAGACATCCATTCAGTCCTGGAAGTGACAGTTTATGATGAAGACCGTGACCGTAGTGCCGACTTTCTGGGCAGAGTTGCTATACCATTGCTGTCTGTAAGTTTCAGTCACCTGACGCACTGTTCCATGTTGCTTTTGCTCAAGGAAAAAAAAAAAAAAAAACCTCAGCTCTATGTCTGTCATTTCTCAACCAAGGTCTGTAATAAGAACACTAAAAATTTTAACATACTCAATGCACGGCCATGTTGAATCCCATGATAGTTAATTTTTCTTGACAGACTTGATCCTGGTAATGAACAGGTACTTGTCAGAATTGCCACAGTTGTTTTGGGTTCTCTGTCAGTTTCAGCAGCTGGGGGTCAAAGGTCACTGGGGGAGTGTATTCAGTGGAGACCGTGAGACAGACGGCTGTCATGTCCTTTTCCCGCAGATTCAAAATGGTGAACAGAAAGCCTACGTCTTGAAAAACAAGCAGCTGACAGGGCCAACAAAGGGGGTCATCTATCTTGAAATAGATGTGATTTTTAATGCTGTAAGTCTTAACTTTGGCTTTTTTGTACTGCTAAAGAGTTCAGTTTCATGAAAGCTTTTGTTCCTGATTTGTAGAGAATTTCTGTCATTCCTCATTTTCTCTAAACCTTGATGTATCTTGGAGAATATGCTTCTGGCACACCCACACTTTCTGCTACAGTGGGGCCGCCGCCGTGTGCTTGGCTGCCGCCCGCCCGCCTGCCTGCCTGCCTGCCTGCAGAGGGACGCGCATGCATATGCAACTGTATACATTTATATTTTATGAGCACAGCAGCCAAGACTTTGAAACTTTAGAAATTATTGCAAATTGAACTGCATGCAAAACTTGTGAACAGTTGTAATATATGAACCCCTAACACACGTGTGTTGATGTGTAGGTGAAAGCCAGCTTACGAACATTAATACCCAAAGAACAGAAGTACATTGAAGAGGAAAACAGGCTCTCCAAACAGGTAAAGAAAAAAAAAGAAAGAAAAAAGAAATATTAATCCCTCTGGGAAGAACTGATTGATTCTGTAAAATATCAGAGTAAATTCAAATAAACCTTGGAGGTCTGGAGGGGGGACGTCCTTACAAATTTTGATCACCTACATATTGAAAACGGCTTTTTTTTTTCCTGTTTTCCTTTCTTTTCCTTAAAAAGATCAAGCAAAGGCAAAACCAAAGTAAGCGGTGAGATGGGGGTGGTAAGGAAGGAGAAGGGAGCTGGGGCTGTGCACCAGTGGAGGGGGGTCATCTGCACCCTAACCTACAATTTGATTGTCACAGAGTGTGTGAGGGAGGTTCAGATCCGTGCACAGACCACCCAGGTATGATGCAGGTGTGCGGTGAATGAAGGCAGCACTTCCCTCTGATTCGGTGAGGGGTCTTTTAATTAGATGTTAACAACATTCCCTTCAAGTGAACTCTCACTGACATTTTCTACTAAAACAAAAACCAGGAATTCTGATCTTCCTTGTATGATACAGCCTTAAACTAAGCTTGGTATTTATCAATAATAACTTAAAATTTTCTTTAATATCAAGTTAAGAAAAAGTGCTACCTACCCTTTTTAAATGTTTACTACAGTTTACAAAGCTAAAATACAATGTGTTTATTATGGCTATAAAGTCACTGAGCTTACTTTTACTGTTAAATATTTGATAATTTTGTGAACCATGAGAAACCGTAAAATATTTTTATTTTTAATCTAGTAAATTCACCACAAAATGAGACTTTTGGCATTTAAACAATGTGTGTTACAAATGAAATACTTATCTCAATAGAAAACCATGTTATATTTCTTTATAATTATAGATAAGAATAATAATAAAAATTGTTCCTAAAAAAGGTGCTAGGAACCAAGAAGGAAAATACACAGGGAGACTCTCTGACTAAACAAAATTCCAGTTTTAAATGTGTTTTAACTGCCTTGCACATACATGAACTAATTTTATACATGTGTACTTTTGTCATTTGAGCTCAGGTAATTTTACATATCTGTTTCTTTAAAATACCAAATTGATACTGGACTATATTTAGAGTATTAATATATTAACTTGCAGACTTATGATTAGTTTAATTATCCATTTTTGTAAGTAACTTTTTAAACCATTATCTAGTTCATAGATGTCTTTTTGTTGTTGAAGTCATGCTATAGCTTTTGTTTTAAACTTAAATTCTGTGAGTTATCATTTCTATTATTATTTTTAGTATGTTTTCTAATAAGAGATTTTGCAGCATACTTGGTTACTATAAAAGTTTCCTAGCTTTTAAATCGTAGGAAAACAAAGAGAAAATATAGAGTGAGGGATGGTTATAGACAGAACAGTCCTATTAAGTGGAAAAAGCCCTTGAAATCACAGTGCTTCTATAATAAGCTGCATTAGACAGGCTTAGAACTCTGAACATTTCAAGGTATCCAATTCACTTTGAAGCATCTTGAAATTAAAATATTTAATCTATCTTAAAAAGAAGAAAGTTCAAATAAACAGGGGTACATGTTTCATAAGTACTAGATTTTTTATGGACAAACATACCAGTTTATATGAAAACATTATTTTTAAAAATATATTTAGCTAAAAAATAGTTCATCCCATCTAGTTCTTCATCCATTAGTGCTTCCTGTTTTTTACCTAGTGAGCCAAATCACTTGGTATCTTTGTCACCTTATTGCCTCTCTGAGTCCATTCTAAATCACCACGAGCTTATAGAATCATACAATATACTTGATTGTTCTCAGTCTTGTAAACTCTGATACTGTTTGTGTTTTCCGTACAGCTGCTTCTGAGAAACTTCGTCAGAACAAAGCTCTGCGTCATGGTGCTGGTAAACGCTGTGTACTACGTTAACAGTTGCTTTGACTGGGATTCACCCCCAAGGAGTCTTGCCGCTTTTGTGGTATGATCACACTCTACTGCTCGCCTGTTGTTATGCATCAGATTCAGCAATCTTAGCTCCAACTCTCTGTGGCTATAGTAACAGTTATGTTGAGAGAGTCATTTTAAAACTCCTATTTTGAGACTTGACTGGACAGATTTGCTGTGGGCAGGAACCTGATGGATTGTTCAGGGTCTGAATCCAAGAATATATTCCTCAGATTTCCGGAATGCAAGACATCTTAGTCAAATTTTCTCTGACAGTTAAAAAGTAAAATTTTGCATATTGTACAATTCCAGATCCAAATAGGAGAGTCAAAAAAATACTTCTCTGTGGAGAAAACAAACAAACAAACAAACAAACAAACAAACAAAGACAATGGCAACAGCCCTGAGCATCCACACTTTGATTTTATTTATTCTGTAAGTATTTTGTCAGGATAGGAACGTCACTGGCAGTAGCATGCTGGTTGGTAAGCTTTAATAAATGAGCAGAGCACAAAGGGATGGGACCTATCTGAGAAAAAGTCACAAGTGAGAATGTAATCGACCCAGATATTCTGCACACAAGGTTCATCCTCTACCCTTTTACACAGATCATCTAAGAAATGACACTGAGACCCGCAGTGGCAGGACAATCTAAAAGGCGCTTTCTCTGGGCCTAGCCAGGATCTCTGGGCTCACACTGTTTCTGCTTGGTCGACGTTTTACCTGAGGTTTCTGTGGAGTCCATCTTTTGAAAGGCTTTATTTTGTGTTTGTTAGGAAATGAGCATCTTATGCTTTCTTACAGTTGCCAGTTTTGCAAAATATGACATTATTATGAGGGTTTACAGAAAGGCCTTAATTAGAGTACCAATTGACTTTTATATGATGGTCAAATGAATGTATGTTTTAGTCCTTGGAGTTCGGTCCTCTGCGCAGGCCGTGTCTGGGAGTCTCACTAATGTCTGAGCACACGAACAAAGACTGTGTATGTCCCTTTGTGTTGTCACTTACCAGTTAGCAGCCTGCTTCCCATAGACATGTCGTTGTTTTCTTAAGGAGGTGACTGCCTCCATCATTGCTTAAGAAGCAGTTCTCTCTGCTCGTCTGATCGCTCTCACATAATAGATAGAGTGGGGCATTCTGATTTTCATCAGCATAGCTGCATTATGATAGTCAGCAAAATGATAGGCAATTTGTACATATATATTATCATTAATTTCAGGTTCTATGGGGACTTAAAATAACAATAAAACTCTACTGAAAATGTCTGCTGCTATTCCTGATTGGCTTTCTTTAAAGCCATCTCTGTGGCTATTTATGAAATTTGAAAACATAAAAATGTATGTAATTATATCATTTATTCAGGATTGTTCATTGTGGACTGTTTGGCATTACAGCGTGTTGTGTGAGTCTTCATAAACTTCTTCCAGTTTCCTAAGGTCATTTTTAAAATTAATTCAAGATGGCAGCTCCTTTTTATAATCTCCTTTTGCTCCTTAAAAAGAGAAAAGAAGCCACTGAAACCTGAGAAACAGAGGCACCTGCCTGTAATCTCACTTACAGTGACATCACTAGAAGGAAGCAAAGCGCTGCAGAAAACGCAGTGTCTGCCTCAGCCAGTAACCAGTTTGTAACAGACCGAGCCAAATGCAAGGGGTTTGCTCTGAAAAGACTGCAATAGTAAAGGTAGGAAACAGGACTGAAAACGAGGATGGAACAGGGAAGAACATAACAAAATGTGAAGAAACCATTTACCATTTTGTTGGAAAAAAGAACAAGTAATAGCACTTTACTGAATATGGTTGAAGTAATAAATAGTGAGCTCTCTTTGCTGAGGCTCCGGCTGGGAGTCCATGCACTGTTCACCCTGTTCTCCTCACGCCCCTCTCTGCCACTTAAGGGCACTGGGAGTCAGTGAGCCTCCAGGAGAAACAGCCAACCAAACTCTTTGAATAAGGCTGCCAATTTAAAATTTTTCTTAAAGAAACACCAAATAAATAAGTTTACTATAATAAATCTGATTATTAAATCATGATAAGAACTGTCAATACTATCAAAGCAATTTACCTATAATTTCCATATGACCCCAAAATTCTGTTATAATCTCTTATCAATAATCTACTTAATCACAGATTGATATAGAAAGTTTTGTACAAGTAGAAATTAATGTTTCTCAGTTACTCCCTATGTGCCAGGGATCTATTGTTTATACATAAATAAATGAAAATGCTCTTACACTAAGAATTTAATATTTTCAACAACTTCATAATGTAAATTCTATTTTTCCTAGTATATAGGTGAAGAAACTGAAGCTCATGAATGTAGCTTGCCTTATGCCACACAGTAAATACTCTTTTCTGTAGAAGCCTTTAAGATGGACACCTGAGAGTTGTGATATAAATGCAGAAAAAAACTTGGTAAAAAATTTTTAGCCATCTTACAGAGAGTAAATGAGGTATTTAAAAACAAAATCATTCAAAGTTGCTATTGCATAAGCAGAGGTTTATTAGGGCAATTTGTTGAAAAGAACTGATTTCCATTAGATGAACGTAAGCAGTGCCCATTGTTACAGACATATTGTTCCCATCATGCCCTCTTGACAGACCATGGGTCTATTATTATAATATTGGTTCCATTTGGCCCATTTTTCCTAGCTGCAGCTGCCTCATGGAGGACATGCTTTTATACCATTATGTGGCTTAGTTTTAGGGCCAGATCAGTATGCTTTTTAATGCTTATGAATTTTTTTCTATTCCATTTTGGTTTTCTCTTCTGATTCAGTTCTCTGAAAAACAAATGCAAAATATCAGTGAGGTCAAAATGGAAGAAAACAATCCTATTTTGCATCTCGGTGTCAATGAGCATAAAAATGCAGACAGTAGCCACAGCCTCCCAGCACCACCTGTGAGCAGGCCATAGGGACGAAACCAGGGGAAATGGCAAAGCTAAGCAGGTCGGCTTCTGGAAGAGTTTGGTTTCTAAGTTTTCTGATGAATATTATTTTTCAAAGGGAGCTCTTTTGTCTGTGGTGTAGCAGGCACTGCTTGCCACTGGGAATCAGCAATTGTAGACCTGGAAATATCTTACAAATTGGACTAATTTTCACCAGACTCCAGACCAGACATTTGTGTTCTCGTGGAAGCCAGTGGGTGCAGAATGGGAAGAGGAAAGGAGGGCAAGTGAGCACACATTCCTTCTCCTCAGCACTGTCATTTCTCACTGTAACGAGCACAAAAATAATTGGAAAACTGAGCTATCAGCAAAAGGACACACTTCAGTGTGCATCAGAGAATTATTTTACAGGACAAACTTTAATCTTCAAATGTGATTGTAGATAATTTGCGGTAGCATCTGTCCGTTTGGAATTGTTTTAGCCTTTTCTGTCGTTACACAGCAAGTGCTGCTGTGTTTAACATTAACATTTGATATTTTACACATTTAATTTCTGTTCTGCTGTGTGGTCCTTGGGGAATGAAACCCTAGTGCTACATGGGAGAGACAAAGTATTGATCAGTTAACATTTCAGCTACATTTATGTATGTCGCAAAATTAATGAAAATGCCAGACAAAAAATGTCAGAGTGCACAAAGAGGTAGAATTTAAATTTGATACTTTAATGAAAAGTCTTAAGATGTGCATTATCAAAAATGTCCTCTTTCCTTTAAAGTCCAATTCTGTACAGAATAACTAGCAGGAAACACATATTTTACTTAGAGGAACAATGAACATGAATTATGACAAGAAAGCAGCTCCGCATGGCACCTTGTATAGCAAAACGGCATGTCTGAATGCATAACTGGTAGCCATAAAATACTTTTGTTTCTGTTCATATCTAAGAAGCTATTGGCTTCAGCCCTCTATCCTGACCAACCCAGGCAGACTTTCTAGTAAGATTCTGGCCCTATTTTCCTCTCTGTGTCTCTGTCTCTGTCTGTCTGTCTGTCTCTCTCTCCTCTCACCCTCTCTCTGTATGTGTGTTTGTGAGTGAGTGAGCAGAATTCTATCTATAGTAATCCAATGAAGACCCTGGTTCATTATTAATCCTTTCCTAGGCATTTTAGTTGCCTGCTTTCCTGACAATTTTGTGTTCCTTCTTCTTTACAAAAAGTCCCCATTTTTTGGAAAGAATCGCACTTTTTTTTTTTTCAGAAAAGCTGGGCCGTTGTGGAGGTAGAGAGAACAAACAGGATGATACATGCATAGACTCACATGTGGGAGGTATGTGTAGGCAAATGTTCCGAATTAAAAGTAAAAACGAAGAAACCACAGGAAAAATAGGACCCAACCTTGGGAGGCAATTGGAATAAAGGACAGAGTCCTAAAGATCAGAGGCAGTTGGCATTCTTTACTGTGTGCTCCCTGTATACAGAGTCTGCTGCCATTAAACAGCTTAAATATTTCTCTAACAACTATTACAAGCTACACAGGCATTGTAAGTGGCTTTCATGGTTAAGGACTGAAAGGCCATGTTAGTCAAGGAGAAATACCAATGTGAAAACAAAAGCATCTCTGCATTGCTGTGGTCGCAGTCCTGGCGTACATAGTGGATGTAGGATACAAAGGCATTTCTGCATCATTATGGTTTCAGTCTTAGCATACACAACGGATGTAGGATACAAGGGCATCTCTGCATCGCTGTGGTACCAGTCTTAGCATACACAGAGGATGTGGGATACAAGGGCATCTCTGCATTGCTGTGGTACCAGTCTTAGTGTACACGGCGGATGTAGGATACAAGGGCATCTCTGCATTGCTGAGGTCCCAGTCTTAGCTTACATAGTGGATGCAGAAGGTAGGGTAATTGTGCTGGATCTAGAGAAAGCACTTCACATTTACAGCAGAAGTTTCCATTTGGAGAATTTAATAGACACCAGTAATACCACACCAATGAAATTATGACAATTTTCAAACTATTTTTATGGGAGCATTTTTTCTGCTACACTTATTTTCTTAGAGATAGAAAAAAAATACAATGAAAATGTTCCAGGCACACGTTTTGTTACTTTCCCCACAGCAACAAAAACGAAGGAGACCT